CTGTCAGTGCAGGTGGAGGCCCCCGGCGGGGCAAAGTGGCAGGAACCTCTTAAAGGGCGAGAGCTGCGGAGAGCGAGAACGCGGCCCGGCCCGGCCCGGCCAGGTCCCCGCCCCGTCCGGCCCAGGTGAGCCTGGACCTTCTGGGGACGATCCTGGGTCCCCGGGAGGGACGGGGTGACGGACAGATGAACCCACTCCCAAGGGCCCGGGACGCCCCGGTAGGGGCGAGACTAGGGTCTAAGGGTCAGGGGAGAGGGTCTCTAGGAGTCCTGGCTTACAAGGTCCGAACTGGGGGTCGACAGGGGTCTGGAAGTCTCCAAGTTCAGGGTGCGGGGAGGGGCGCGGGCGAGAGGAGAGGGAGGTCCGGGGGTGGACGCTTGCCGCTGGCGGTCCCAGGCAGTGCCGGCCTCTCTGGCGCCGGGGTCCCGGCTTAGGTCCGCGCGGGCGGGTGTCTGCAGACTGCTGCGGCCCCAGGTGTCCCCCCCCCCCCAGCCCCGCCCTGTCCGGCCCGCATGCTCCTGCCAGGCCCGCCGCAGCGCTGGCCGGAGCGGGAGGGCGGGCGGCGCGCAGCGGGAGGGGGCCCCCAGGGCCTGGAGCCCCGCGCCCGGCCCCTTACGTAACTGACTTCGGGTTTCCGGACTGAGGGACCCGAGAGCTGGGGCGCCTGCTCTGCCTACCACGGTGGCCCTCCCGTCACCGCCCCGGCCCACACGCTCCCTTCCAGGCTTGGTCTCGGGGACTTTCCTCTGTCTCTGGTCTCCCCAGTCTCTCTATCGCTCTCAGATTCCTGCTTGCTCTCATCCCCCGATTCATTGTGTCCCTCATCTCTCCTCTGTCTGTGTTCCTGTCCCTGTTCTCAGTCTTTCCCCGGGAGTTTTCTCGTCCTAACCTATACTTTCCGGCAGACCCCACTTCTTTTGGGGTAAAACAAGAGTTCTCCCCTCTGGCAAATTGGAGGCGGGGACTTGTCCAGACCGACCTCAGCCCTAGCTTGCCCCAGAAGGGGGGAAGGGTAGGACTATTCCGGTAGGGTTGGGGCGGGGGGTTATTTCAAGGCCCACAGTGTCTCCTGGCGTGGCAGTGGCTGAATGTGACCCCTCAAATTCCCGGACTAGGGCTGAAGGCAGCCCTTTCTCTGCTTCTAGAGCCTTTTTCTCCAGAAGGAGAAGGTTTGGGGAATGTCTGGCCGGGTTTGGTGCTGAGGGCAGCTGGGAGTCCCTGTGAGAACCGGCTGGTGTCAGGTCTGGGTCACACCTTCAGCTACTGAAGGGGAGAAGGAGGGGCCAGAGCACTGGCACAGAGCCCCTGAGGTTTTAGCAAGCTCCCTACCTTCACCCCAGTTACAGGCTTGGGCAGGAGGCTAGGGGTGGGGAGGGGATCAACAGGAGGAGGTCAGAGGACTTTTGCATGGGGGTAGGGAGAGGGTGGAGTTTGGGGTGACAGACTCTCAGGTCTGAGGAGCATGTAGTGGGTTCACCCCCTGCCTTCAAGGCCCTTCTGAGTGCCAGTGAGGCAGACACCTCAGAAATAACTCCTGTACCCTGCTGCTGTTGTGTAAACAGGGTGCTAGCGCAGCCATGAGGTGGGAAATGATTAATTCTGACTAGCACTGTGGAGGGAGAGACTTTGCAGAGAGAGGTGGAAGGTTTGGGAAGACGGGGATCCAGAAGCTTTAGGGAGCAGAGAGGTGGAAGGAAAGGTGACATCTGGTGCCCTGTAGGCTTTGCATGCAGCAGAACTGCGTTTAAATCTTGGCCCTGCCACTTTGCTGTGTGACCTTGCATGAATCACTTCACTTCTCTGAGTCCCAGGTTCTTCCTTCTCCAATAATCCAGACCTTACAGGCATTAGCAGCAGAATCAACTGAGGTAATAAGTGTGCAGTGACCAGAACGATAGCTGGTCTGGGAGTTGGCCAGTGGGGTGTTTTAAGAGTGGAGTGGGGAGGTCCTGAGGTTTCCTCTGTGTATTAGGGGGCAGGGCCTGCCCAGGCCCAGCAATGTGCGGTGCAGGTGGAGCACCTGCTTGTGGGGTGAAGAGGCACCACACCCATCTGTCTCTTGATCAGCCCATCCTTGCACTGCCTAGACTAGGCTGGCCTCCCTCTTGTAGGTTGCAGGTGCCAAGAGAAGCTCCCAGGGCTCCCAGGCTGCCCCACCCGCTAGGCCAGTGGGGGTGGGGCCCCTGGCAGGCCAGGGCCAGCACCCCCTCTGCAGAGTGGACCCTGGCCAGGAGCCTGGCTGGCTGTGCTGGGCAGGAACATCCCAGTCTGGCTGGGAAAATGCTGACGCTGTACAGGCCTCTGGAGGCCCAGAGCTCTGCTGGCTGGGGTTGCGCCCAGCTGATGGGACCCGGGCTGCAGGGTGAGACAGAGGCCAGGGTGGGAGTGAGGAAGGGAGATGCAAGGAGACACCTCTGGAGGGGGAGCCTGAGCAGAATTTCTCTGTGGAACCGAAGAGGAACTGCGTGGGTTTGTCCCTAAGCCCTTCCTGAGCACCACATATGGGTCTGCTAGCCACAGAGCTAAACAGGATACCCACAAAGGGCTCGCCACAAAGGTCATGGTGGCCTGAGATTTGTTGGGGGCTTGCAGAATGGGTCTTTATGATCGTTCCCTGGTGAGGGTGGGGCTTTCAGATTTTTCTTGGGTCCTGGGATTCTGATGTTTATTAGAGGGGGCAGGATTCTATTCCTATATAGTCTGTGGGCCCATTTTTTCCTCCCTGGGTCTCAGTTTCTCTTTGTGTGAAATGAGAAGGGGAGATGAGCTTAGAGCCTCAAAGGGTCTTGCAGCACCCATTATTATAGCCTCCAGGACATGCTTTGGGGCTTAGTCCACCCCACAGGAGGGGGAGGCGAAAGAATGGGGCAAGGGCAAGGTAGAGTGTGATGGGCCTTCATGTCCTGTTCTTGGCCTGTGTTCTCTAATCATAATTAGAGCCACATTTACTATCCACAGCGCTCTGTGCTAAGCCTTTAATATGCAGCATTAGCTAATATCCTTACAACCCCATGAGGGAATAGGTATTATTCCTATTTCTTAGGAGTTTAAGGAGGTGAATCTACTTAACCAGAGTCACACAGCTGGGAAGTGGCTGGCCTGGGATTTAAATCTAGGTTGTCTGACTCCAAAGCCCAGACTCAACTGAAAGGGGAGGCCACCACCTGGAAGGTACCAAGGCTCACATGATGCCGAGACTTTACCTCTGGAACCTGTCTGACTCTTTCTGGGTGTGCTCAGAGCTCTGGGATATTTAGGCTGGGGAACTGGGGGCCAGGCTGTGCAGGTGCCCACCAGGCCCAGTGTGGGGGGGAGAAGAGCAGAGGGTGCAACCTGCAGGTCAGGACCCTACCCAAGGTTTCCTCAGAGGGCCAGCCGCACCCGACTACTGCCAAGGTATAAGAGCTGGGCACCAAAAGGCTACCTTGGATATGTGGCCCACCTTTGGACTTCCGTTTCTCCATCTGTAAAACATGGATTTTAGTAGTTGAGTGCAGACATTCCTTGGCCCATGGGTTTGTGGCTGGAGTTGGTGATGGGGTAAAAGGTTAGAGGCAGGGTCAGAGTAGCAGCGGCTGAGCCTGTGGAAGAAGAGTTGGGGTCAGGAACAGCTTGGATCCTGGGCTATTTGTAAGTATTTCAGATGAAGGGACTGATGCAGGAGAGGTTCCAAGTCTTGTGTGGGGCTGTGCACTGGGGGAAAAACACAAGGGGAGACCTGGAGAACAAAATCCAGGCAGATGCCTGTTGGAATCCTGGCTCGACCACTTACCTAGGTTTGGAGACATGAAGTGACACACCCAAGAGAGAGGAGTACCTTCCCTTCATTGTCCTCATATGTAAAATGGGAATAGGAATAATTTTGCCTTGGTCCACTTCCTGGGTCATTGTGAAGGTCAAAGGAGATGAGGTATTTGTAGCATTAGGTGAGAATGCTGGTTATTTTTCAGTCCAGAGTTGCAGTTCTCGGTTGCGTTTGTGGGGAGAGGGCACTTCTGACAGCCTCTGCTGAGATGCTGTACCCTGGGGATGTGCTAGAGAACAGCCCTAAGAATACCATCACCATTTATCGTCTGGTTACCATGTGCCAGGCACTGGGCCCAGAGCTTCACCTCTATTGTCTCTTTTAATCTGTATGTTGTCAGGTAGGTGGTGGTCTGGCCCACACTAGGTCCCTCCAAAACCCATGCCTCCAGCTCCCTGTAATGACAGTAGCTAACAGTTATGAACAGTGTACTGTGTGCCAAGCATTGTGCAAAGCGTTTTTTATATATTAAGTCATTTAATCCTTACAACTGCCCTGGAGGTGGGCACTAATGCAATCAATCCCCATTTTACAGAGAAAAAATTGAGGCACAGAGAAGCTGAACCCTCATATCACAAAGTTAGTGAGTGAGGGCCAGGGTTTGAACCCGGGGCTCTTTTTTAAGTTTATTTATTTACTTTGAGGGAGACAGAGCAAGTGCAAGTGGGGGAGGGGTAGAGAGAGAGAGGGAAAGGGAGACAGAGGATCCAGAGAGCCTGGTGTGGGGCTTGAACTCACAAACCGTGAGATCATGACCTGAAGTCAGATGCTTAACTGACTGAGCCACCCAGGTGCCCCCCAGCCTGGGTTCTTAAATTTCCTCCTTGAAGCACTCACACAGTTGTAATCCATTCGTAAATTACATGATCTCCTTCTCACTGAACCATAGGCTCCATGAGGGCAGCAGCCATGTCTGTTTTCATCCTGTATCCCCAACACCTAGGTGTTGAGTTAATATTTGTCTAGAGGGATCTTGCTGCCTCCAGTGGGCTGGGTCCTAGGAGGAGCTCTGGGTGCAATATCAGATTATCAGATTGCTGACTAACAGGGTACCTGCCCTAGCAGAACCCCAGAGGCAGATACAGAGGCAGAGGCAGGATCTCCCCCTGCTCAGGATGAAGAGGGGCCCCAAAGAGCTTATTGGGTGGTTGTGCCTGTGTCTCATTTCTGTCCTTTGCTTCCATGTGCCCCTGCGGTGATGGCTCCACGACTTCTCCCTGACGGGCTGTATGACCCCGACCGGCTGCTGCTGGGTGAGTACTGGTTTGGCTAAATGACTGCCTCTGGGGCTTGATTCTAATGCATGTCCTGTAGCTCCCAGGCCACTGGGAGGTGTAAAGGGAGCCCAGCAGTAGGGGTGGAGGAACTGAGGGAGGGCATTCTGTGAAGTTTGGGTCCTACCACAACCAGCTGACTTCTCTCCAGATGCTTAACACACCGGCTGATTTTTGAGACACGTAACACAATGCAAAGGTCTTAGGGGCCAGACTGGTCAGGAATAGAATCCTCATTCTGCACCTGGTAGCTGGGTGGCTCTTTGCATGTCAGTTTCATGTCTGTAAAATGGGAATCTCAGTGTCTACCTGACACGGTATGTTTGTTCTTTTCTTTATGTAAGACCCCTGAGGGCAGGGATCTTTGTTTATTTATTCACTGTTATATCTCCAGCATTCAGGGTATAATGGCATGTAGTATGTACTCAATGAATATTTCTGAACGAATGAGCATATTTATTCATTCACTGTCACTATGCCCCATCAATGTGCTTTGTATTGGATTAAATGGCTAATGGATATAAAATGACCAACATCAAAGGGGCTCAGTGAAATGTGTTCTGTCTTTGCTCACTAGACTGTGAGTTCCTTCAGGGCCAGGGCTCGGTTAAGTGAGCTCTGGGTCCTCTGAATTGAGGGTGGGGCCTTTAATCAGCAGAGAGAGGGCCTTCGCAGGGCCTCTGCTTAGAACTAGGGAGAGAGGGACAGAACCTCTAGGTGTCATCAGAAGAGAGGGGCAGCTGGGAAGGTCTGGGGCTGAAGGAGGGAGGGGTGAGGAGGGACTCTGCCCCCCAGTACTGCCACTAACCTTGCTGTGTGACAGTGGACAAGCCATTGACTTCTTTGTCTTGGAGACCTCGTCTGCAACATGCATATCATAACACTTCCCCCACATGGGCGTGGGAAGGAGCCGGTGAGAAGTGCCCAGTACAGGGCCCTGTTTGGTAATTATTGGTTTCCACCCAGTCCTGAACTCTTTCTGGGAGGGGGCTAAGTAAAGTATACCTTTATTTACCTCCATTCTACTATTTTAACTTCCCACCCAGCCGGGACTAGAATCTAGGAGTCAGGAGCCCCAGACTCTCAAGCAGTCTGGCCAGGGCCTGGGCTAAGGGCTGGGCTCTACCCAGTGTGAAAGTAGGTCCCATTCTTTTGCTGTGTGACTTGATTCAGTAACCTACCTTCTCTGGGCCTTGGTTGCCTCACCTACAAAAGAGGGTTAATAAAGAACACTTCCCTGGAAGAATTATTTAATGAGCGAATGGGTGGATCAGGCATTATTATCACTATTACTTTTGGGTCGGGCTGAGGAGGCTCCAAGGGAGGGCCCTGGAGAATTACATCCCATCTTGGCCTTGGGATCCTGGGAGTCTTTAGTCATCATATGTATTATTGCCTTCAGATGTTTCTCATATGCTAGGTGGGTTGTTATATGCTATTTCAGATGCATTATCTCATCTGGTCCTCCTGGCAATCCAGGCATTATGGTCCCTGCTTTGCAGATGTGGGAACTGGTACTGAGTAAATCAAGTGAGTTACCCAGACTCACATAGTTATTTAGGGGTAAACCTGGAGCTCAGACCCAAGTCTGCTCAACCCAAGGCCCAAATTCTTAAGGGGGCAGGGACTGTGCCTGATTCTTCTCTATCTCCAGTGCTCAGCACAGGGCTGGTGAGGCTACAGGACTGTTTGCTGAACGCACAAGCACATGCACACACAGTGTACCCCACCCAGGCCGGTGCTGTAAGAGTTTTGAAGAGAGGAGACACCAGAAAGCAGGGGAAGGCCAGATAGCATGGTGGTTGAGAGTCAAACAGATCTGGCTTTGCATTCCACATCTATTGCTTACCAGTGTGACCTTGAGCAAGACATTTAACCTCTTGGAATCTCAGTTTCCTTATCTATAAAATGGGGATAATAAAAGAACCTGTGTACCTCCTAGAGTCCTTGTGAGGATTAAATAATGCAATGAGGTACATGCTGAGCAATGTAATTATTATTATAGTTATAGCTTTGGGTGTTATTTTAGGATCCCTCTTGGGATAGTGGAGATGAGGTCTGGGAGGGGCCTGCTGGGGACAGGCAGGTAGCAACCTAGTCTGACAGGTTCTGAAAGACACCAGTGGGTGAAGGGAGGGAAGAGGCCTCTTGGAAGTAAGGACACACCTCTCTTTCCTACCCATCTGCTTTCATTCATACGCACTTTGTGCCAGGCCCTGTGCCGGGCATGGGGCACAGAGATCAATCTGTGTGGTCTCTGCCTCCTCGCCCTGTCCTAGCTCAGAGTCTAGCTGGGGAGAAAGACACAGAACTACCAACTCCACCTTTGACTGATGCACCGAAATGTGAACCGTGAATATCTTTTCAGGCAAAGACCAGGAGAAAGGGCATTCCTAGTGGAAGGAACTGTTTTGCCAAGGTACAGAGTCATGACCTGCCCTTGTGGGATTGCAGCTAGAGGGACAGGCTCAGGAGAGTTAGGGGGATTTGTCCCAGAGGCAGTGGGGAGCCATCAGATATGAAGCCGGGGAACAACATGATCAGGCTCATATTTGGGGAGGGTCGCTTGATTCGGAGGACTAGTGGGAGAGGAGAGGTAGGGGCAACTCTCCAGGTGAGGGACGCTGAAATGGGGCCTGGGACTGAGCTATGGGATGGGGAGCACGTCTGTTTAGGAGGCCGAGCCAGCAGGATGTGATAACAGACTGCAGTGGGCAGGCAGGAGAGGAAGGAGGTGGGGTCTGTGGGGCGGATGGGGCCTGCTGGGGTCTCTGGCGAAGGGACATACCCAGGAAGACGAGTCCGAGAGGGGTTGGGGGATAAAGCCACTTGTCTGCTTTTTGTCATCCTCTGTGTCGGTTCCCGCAGGCAGCAGTTATGTCTTAGCTGGACACTCGGGCAAGACCTCTGGCCACCAGGGCCCATGTCCCCCACTCCTGCCTTGGGGCCCCTTGTGGTGACCCTGGCTGGTCTGGCAGGGATGAGGGAGCTCTTTGGGGTGGGGGCCAGGCAGGGACCTGTGTGGTGCAGAGAAGGCCTGGCTTCCGGCTCTACCAGTGTCACGTCACTGAATGTCTGCGTGACCTCTGGAAGTCACTCCCTCTCTCTTGCCCTCCTTTTCTGAGCCTTGAGAGAGAGGACAAGAAAACCTGTTTTGCCTGCCTCAAAGATTCAGTGATAAAACGCACTTAGAGACAACAAACACTTACTGAGCACTGACTGTGTGCAGGGTTCTTAGGGGCACAAAGATGACTCAGGTGGGGTTCCTGCCACTCTGGGTGCTTGAAGCACTTCTGCGTGAGCTCAGGTGAGTGGGTGGTTAACTCCTTCTAGGCATTGGGTAGTTGAGCTGGGATTTGAAGGGTAAGCAAGAGCTCTCTAGGCGGGCAGTGGAGAGAACAATTTTGTAAGCATAGGGAACATCATGTGTGAGGGCTTAAAGCCACGTAATGTGCTCAGGGCACGTTTGTACCGTAGTTTGGTATGGCCGGAACAGAAAGGGAGAGGCGATGCTGTGACAGGAGTTGAGGCTGGGCAGGGGAGCAGGGCCCAGATCATACAGGGCTTTGGGGACAGTCACTCTGGAGGTGATCACCCTCGTAACTGCCGGCTCTCCTGAGACTGCTAGGGCCCTTTCCACCCTGCTCCCCCTATCCCCCCACCTCACCCCCACCCCAGTCAATCCCAGTGGCTGCCTCTCATGGGAGTCAACAACCTGGGTTCCCTGCCAGCTCTGCCGCTTATGAGCTGTATGGCCGACCTTCAGTCACCTGCCCTCTCTGCACCTCAGTTTTCACCTCAGTAAAAGGGACAGCAGGCCCTCCTCATGTGGACAGGCAGTGGTTTCAATGAGAAAATCCTCACCAATGGCCTTGCACAGTCTCCCTGTACTGGGCACCCATGAAAAGGAGCTCCAGTTCAGCCATCATTATTTGGATTCCTCAATCTCCTTGGTCCTGCCCACTTTCTTCCCTCCCCACCCCCCCCACCCCCCCCACTTTCCTGGCAGCTGGCTGTGGCCAACAAAGGGAGGAAAGGATTAAGAAACAAGCCCAAATCTCTTGAGGGGTCCTGGCCCACTGCCGAGCTCGCCCCCTCCTGCCCCTTGCCCTCCTTGGCCCCAGGCCCAAGGACTCTCAGTCTTGAGGCCTGGGCTCCCCCCAACTCCCCATCTCAGGGGCCCCTTCCTGGCTGGAGGCCAAAGCCAGCAGTAGCCTTGAAACAGGGACAAATATTTTGAAAATCTGTGGCTTTATTTTTTCCCCCTGGAAGATGATCCCCAGGCCCTTTTTTTTGGGGGTGATGGGAAGGAGAGTAAGTGTGATGTCCTGTATCTGTGGGAGGCCCCATAGTCTGGGCAGAACTGGATCCCTGAGCCTCCTGCATTTTATAATAAAGGCTTCTGAGCAAGTCCTTTTTGGTATACATGCAAGAGCCTCAAATCAGAGAGGGTGGTAGATGGTGCAGGGTCACACAGCAGGAACCCAGGTCTCCGGGCCCTTGTGGCACTACCCTATGAATGAGTGTGATGAGGTGACCTTGGCTGTCACTTCACCTTTCTGAGCCTCAGTTTCCTCTGCTGTAAAACGGGGCTGATTTTACTGTGAGGATTAACAACAATGTAGATAAAGCACTCAGTTCAGTCCTGAGCACTATGAGGCTTCAGTGGTCGGTACGAAGTATTAATGCTGTTATAAATGCTGTCCAGAACCTTCTTCTGTCCTGTTTCTTCCCAGTCTAGGGACTTGAAGTATTTGACACAGTTTAAGGTTGAACAAATGACACCCAGTAAATTGGTTTCAAAGCCAGAGGCTCAGGATCTTTTACCCTCCTCCCCCGTTCCCCCCTCTTCTGGTTGGCTGGAACACTCTAGCCTCACCCTCGGCCTGGTTTTGGCCCCTGCCCCCAGCCCACCTCTGCCCTCTTGGCGCCAAGCCTGCACTGTCTCTCTTCCAGGAGCTGCACGGGGACAGTTTCCT